AACATGGCGGCCTTACTTACTGTACATATGACAGCCAGTTCAGTGTTTGATTTCTGACTGACTATACTGCCTTGGGCTACCTGTCTTATGTAAACATGGCGGCCTTACTTACTGTACATATGACTGCCAGTTCACTGTTTGATTTCTGACCTCACAAGCTTCAGCAGTAAGTCTGCTGCCAGCAATAACTACACCTACAAGAAATGCAAATGTAACAATAGTAAACAAAAGGCTAGCATCACTTATCCTTGCAGTTCATGTGAGAATGTTGCTCCATTTTAAAGAAAAAAGGCAATGGATTCTAATACTCCATTCTACAGTTCCAAGCACCATCTTGACAGGTAGTTGAGCTGTTACATTAAAGCAAGATAGAAGTTAAGCTTGCAATGATAGATGTTTGTGAGTAATTATTGTATTAGGTGTGAACAAAAGGTATCTATCACTGCAGGCTCAACTSCTGTCTCACTTTGATGCAAAGCCTTGGTTACCTTTCAAGATGGCACTTGGAACTGTAAAACGAAGTATTCCTTAGGGAGCAAAAGCTTTGTTTTGCTTTGTCGAGAGAGATACTTCAATGTTCATCACACGTAAGTGGGTCTAATGATCGTTTTCAATCATTTCCCATGATATTCAAGAAATAAAAGACAAACAGCTATGTTGGTGGAGTGAACATAGAAAGTAATGAGAAATCCTTTGTTGAAGCTCATCCAAGATTGCTGCCATGATGTTAAGTGAAAAAAAATTATAGTAAACAATCAATAACTATCTTGACATGATAGACCTTTTCTTTCCAACAAAATGCATGAAATAAAAAAAAGACATGCATTTCATTTACAGACAGCTTCAAATTAAACACCTCAAGGGGAGGGGGTGGTGGAAGGGGGGTCAATTGTAGGGTTGAATACGATGGTACCTGTAGAGTGCGCTTCAGTTTCCATGTTTGGCTCTCTGGTGGAAATCATTGCATCTAAGCTCTGATATGTGGACATTTTCTCTGTAAGTAAAGATATAATGTTGTTGTTAAATTGTCCTTGTTGYGTCTTACTAGACATTTCTCCTGTGTATTCAAATATTTCTAGACACACACTGTCATGATACAGTATAATAAACATAGATCCAACTACGATGTACCATGATTTAAAATCCAAAAAAAGGAAAATTGGTACATGTAATGGAAAAAGATAATTTAATTTAAGATGTACAGTAGATACTGTGTTTAGTAGCAGTTGTACTATATGGTCGAGCAGAGAATGAATAATAGAAAATATAAAAATTAAATCATTTGCTTGAGTTGATAGAGTGAACTCACTTAATCGTGAAAGTTAAATAGTATATAATAATTTTAAATACGCTGAACTCCTTTGTATTTTATTGTCTAATTAACACTATCTATTATTAATTAGTACTATTTGTTTCACGGATTTAGTATGTCCACTCTATTGTTGTAATTTTATATTCAAAGTATCATTACTCTATTTACATTATTGGGACATGTATTAAATCCAAAACCTCTGATAAGTAAAATTCTGCGAAAGAAATCATGTACGCATCTTAAATAAAACAAGTGATATCACTGATCTCTGAAAAAATTTACGCACGTCGTACATCGATGAAGCTGGGGTATCTCACAAAATTCCCGAAGTGAAATTTCCCGAAGTGCAATTCATAATACAAAAAAAAAAAAAGTACAGACTATTGAAAGGGACCATCTTTGAGTAATGAAATTACTTTGAAAGGCGATTAAATATTTATTACGGAGAATAACCGTAAGAAAAAGAGAGAAAATGGCCGAAMGACAGGATTCTTAACCTTGGAAGAGACATCCCAAAGTTTACTTAAAATAGAGCATTYTTAATCCAATTCAAAGCATATAAACGCGAGTTACTGTTGAAAATACCCCTCATATATGTTATCTAGTGCTTTATAAGCTAAGACGTAGTGAGAAAATAGAKAAAATACTCCAAACTTACCGGTGTTTATAATCTGCCCTTCTAAACTCGAGRAAACTCCATGTTGCTCATGTGATCGAGGCGGAAGAGGTAGACTGGGACCTAGCGTAAAAAAATAATATGGCGGACGGAAGTTGACTTTGAAGGCAAAATATGATGATTTGGTTTTCTCTCTTTTGCACAAATATTTAACAATGATTGGGGTCCTAAACTCTGCTTAAATATCAGTACATCATGGCAGAWTCTTCGGGAATAACCAATGGTGAGTGTGGCAAAGAACAACAGGGTTTTTTCATACAAGACCTGAAGTGAAAAATGCAATTAAGTTAACTTATTGCATTTTGTTATTGATTCCATAAAATCTAGCAGRTCAAGCAAGCCCTCGTTCTCCGAGTCCAATGCCACCAGTGTCGAGAGAAAGAGCTGTACTTGAAACCTTTTTCCACGCTCTCAGCCAGTTTGCATTTGAAAAAGCAAAAGATCTAGTGGTAAGGTCAAACGCAATTTGTTCATAATTAGCTTAACATTAAGCTTATAGTCTCCTTCACGGTTCCCGGCGCCATTAAAGGGTAGCCATGCCTTTGTATCAAACAGAGACAACCATTAAGTGTGCAATGATAGAAACCTGGGTTTAATTGTCTTTAGATCTGAAAGAAGGTTGCTATCGTTGAATACTCAACAGTTGTCTTCCTTTTTGATTCAAACATATTGACTTGCAAGGTGGCACAGGGAATTGTCACAACAACTATCTTATTCGTTCCTCCATTTTTCCTCTCTTTCCATCCCTTCTTTTTTCCTATTATCTTATTAAAAATCMATTCCGATTGGTCAGCCTTATTGCAATATTTGTTCTTCTAGGAGAGGGAAAGAGATGCCAGAAGWCCACTTTCTTTGAACTCTTCAAATATCAACATCTGGCAATCATTCATTAATATTTTGCCCCAATTAGCAGCAGCAGAAAAGAATTATTTTGCTCTTTCATTTGTTGCMAGAAAAATATTCAGAAAAGATGTAAGTGTCAATTTGGTRTGGGGGTTTAGGGGCTGGACATCTCAGTTCATCAACTTGTTGTAGTAATATTATACATTTTCATGCTAAAGATTTCCTGGTATTTCATTGAAGTTTATATAATAAAATAACAAATTTATCTCTGTATTCTACCATCTACACTTCAAATGAATCTTTTTAGTTTGCCAGGGACAGTTATAAAGTAATTTTGGGCGAACTAAAGAAAACAGAAGAAATGGGAGAGAATTCCCATTCACTTCCCACTCCTCCAATTGAGTGCAGTCTCATAACGGAACTGTGCCGTCATGTTTCCCAATTTGTTCAGGCAAGACTTGAAATCATGGATTTGTATCCTTGCTTAAATTGACTATCCTATTTTTATTGAATGTAGTTGTTCCTATTATAGTTTGTGTAATTTTCTTTTACAATATTCATCTATGAAAACATGGCAGCAGTTTGTGTATTACCAAGCCCTAGTTATGAAGACCTGGTCAGTATCATTGACGAGATTATTTCCAAGTGAGTTATAATCACCATAAACTTAAAGAATCATAACCACCCGTCGTACCTTGCGCGCTCGTATTATTGTTTACATACGTTTAAATGCGTCAAGCATACAATAAATTATAGATTGATAGTACCTGTGAGGTACTTAGTTAAAGGTATTTCTGTCCAAACTGAAAGGACGGAAGACGATTTGCGCTCACTTTAAGAAATCCTACAAATCCGCCATTTTCGTGTCCACCTAAAATGGCGCTTCGGTTCGCAAGGTATGGCGGGTGGTTATGATTCTTTAAGACAGCWGCTAACTCTCCCATGTATATTAAGTTAGCAATAAACACTACCCCACCCCACCAGGGGGGATACTCCCCCACAACTTGGGTGGGGGTGTACCGCTGGGACCTCAAAACCCTAACACTGAACATTCCAGAGTGAAATCGCTGAAACAATACCTTCTTTCAGAGTAAAATCCAGCACCAGCCTGGGTGTATATTGAAATGTTAACCTGTGAATTTTTACACAGCATCGATAATTCCAGGAATTAAACCCTGACCCTGTTCCAGAGAAAAATCTCTAAAAACGATACCCAGTATAGCGAACATGGGGGAGTACACCCCCCTCCCCCCCAACATTTCAAATCAAGGGCATAACACCTTTTATGCCCATTATGCATTATGTGACCCATCACTGGATTATCACAGGAAGCCCAAAGATAAACCTTGATTTATGCTAACTAGATACAGACCTAAATATCACTAATCATTGAAGTTGACAAAAATTTACCAAGCGCACCCACCCCTCTCCCTTCCATATTTAATGAACAGTCGCTAACTCAATTATTTTTCATTCTCAGACACCAGAAAGGATTTCATCACCCCATATTAGATCCTCTAAAGTCAAGTTTTAGGTGAATACCATTGGTTCATTTACATGTCTCTTAGTCCGTTTGAAAATTTCTTACCTCTTATTTAATATTATCTTACTATTATTACTAGTAATGAGGTAGATATACTCCAACAATTATTAAAAGCCCAGTACGTCATGACGGAGTGGAATTTCCTGACAKCATTGCTTCATCTTCATGAAAGTCATACTAAGCTTACSTCATGGGGGCAGTTGTTACCTACTTTGACCAGTAAAGAGGTTTGTTATGAACTCTCCTGCTAAGCTATGCAATTTTGGTATCAATCAAACTATAGCGGTTATAATAAATCCAGCATTCTGCTTGGCTACTGAACTATGAGTATATTCATGAAAGGCCATGGTTGCATCACATGAAGCAAAATAATACTCTTTTTTCAAAGTTTTTGGCCTACAGTTTGGTGGATATTAAAACAAGACCAGTTAGACCAGTTTGTGAACCATGTGTTCATCATCCATAATGGTATCAACTTGTAATTCACAGGACATCCTTGCCTGAATTRTTAAATATAGAGCAAATTTCGTATGACTGTACAAAAAACCATGGTACTTTCACGCTGTGCCTGTACTGTGCCGTAGTGGTGATTGTTAAATCTTTATTTTTGTTTGGAATCCTAGAAGGCGATGTTCCGTGTAGGCTCAGTCTCCAGCCGTCGGGATTTCGTACGCCCGCGATACTCTCTCCCCTGACGGCTGGGCGCATGGGGTTCAAAACGTGTCGCGCATGTCCGTGACGTTTTTGTGTAATTAGCATATTATGACGTAACGGAAGTGAATTTTTCAGTGAACGGAAGTGAAATATCTGACAACAGCCGTAAAGGTTTTGCTACAAGTCGGGAAATTATGTTATGTTCGCGAAGTAGCGATATAATGTAATAGTTAGCGCTTTAAAAAAGAGAAAGGAATGGAAATTACCCCAAGTAAAACATGTGCAGGGTTTAATAATCCAAATGGATGTATTATCTGCTAGAAAAACGAGCAAAATACACTAGTGGCGCTGTTTGAAAAATAAGAGATTTGCCCGAGCCAGTATAGGAAGAATAACAAGGACATCTTTTCCAAGAACAATCTCTTTAAGAGCCTTTTGCTGTATTTCTCTAAATTCGTCCAAGCTAAACGACTTCAGAGCCTTCAAACAAGCACTTTCAAAGAGAATCTCAAACGACGAATTGTACGCCATTTTGTTACACTGCTGCCTGCTAATTTATTAATGATATGCCCCTCAAAATATCGGGGGCCACTCGCTGATTGGTCAAGACTGACAATAGCGAACCTCATGCGCCCAGCCGTCAGGGGAGAGAGTATCGCGGGCGCACGAAATCCCGACGGCTGGAGACTGAGCATATGTTCCGTGCCGTGCCGTGCCATGTCCTTGTTGTGATCCGTGCCGTTGCACAGTGATGTGAAATCCGCTCTACTATATTGTTTTTGACCTTATTTCACTTTTACYCTAATGTAGTAGTACATGTACTTAATTCCACACCATTCTTAATAGCTTTTCAATTCCCTTCCAATCTATCCCATCACTTTTCTATTGTTATTTAGTACGCTACTCATTGCTATTTTATTATATCTCATTTGATTCATTTGATCCCATCCCATYCATCCAATCCCATTTCATGATATCCCATTCCATTCCTTTCCATTCTATTTGTTTCCCTTTTCTTCTYAGCTTGCTGCTACAGTAACTACRAAGAAGTCGATATTCAGTAGTGCACCCAAGAAACAGGCAGAAGTTCCGTTCATTTACCTATGGTTGAGTAAACTACATGCCTCACTTGTTTCTAAGGTAAGATGGCTCCAGTGCAGACTGCTGTGAGAGGGAGGAGAGGGGTTGCTGTCCTCTCCATCCAATATCTAAGACTTCTCCTAACACTTGTTAAACAAATTGAAACTTCTATAAGAGTCCGTACTCACACTCTTCCTTGGCAAAGTCTTTGAGATGAGACCTCTTTTGCMAAATAAAGTGTGTAGTCTGATCGACGAGCAGTTGTGGAAAAAGGACAAATTTAACACTAGTTTACCTCTAGTTCACACCATGATAGTCCAATAGTTTGTTCGGTGTGAATCCAAAACAATAGTCATGCAATAGTCGAGTTTCGCGATCTCTTTTACGCTGTGTTAGCCTCAATTGTGTGCTAAAATATTCAGAAATGTTGATAAAACTTGTGAGATTTCAAACTATTTCCATTGTCTTCTATACTCACAGATCTCTTGCATTTGCACGGGTTATGGTGAATAAAAGAATTAATTACATGGTTTTGAGGCTAACACAGCTTAAAAGTGATCGCTAAAAGGGTTTATTTTGCAGTCAATCGGACTATTCTCAGAACAAAAGAAAAAAAAATTACCCCCTGCCCCCTCCCCCTCATGAAACCACTACACACTCCCCTGTTGTATCAATCATTTCTCTACTTTGTGTGTTTTCCAGTTTACATTCTACTTCTACACTGTTCTTGGCGCTCAAACATCGACCTCCGAGATGAAAGTGATGGCTTCAAGAGCAACTGTCGATTATGCGSCCAAGTAAGTTTAACTTGCCTATTCTWGTCGACCTCAAAGCCGTTGTGTGTGCGTGTGACGCAAGATTTCAGAAAGCGCAAACTAGAATTAAATTTTATCCTCTTTAACACACGTCAAAAACTGATTTTTATTAGGTTATATATATATTTTTTTGATTTTTTATATCTATTATTAAGTTATTAGTACTAATTATCTGAGGTAATGATGATGATTATAATTACTGTTATTGTAGGATTTCCGCATTTCAACGTAAGTCCGATGCTCTCAATATTTCCATCCTATTGGATGCCAGGGGACTGACGTCATACCGTGGCCATGGTTACCACTTCCCAGAGGATGTTGTGGATCAACCATCGGGTCTTGGGGCATTCCCGGCCATCGTTTCCTTCCCGAGGGTAAGCATACATGACTACTGSACTCGAACCCATGACCTGTTTGACACCTGTTTTGCAAAGATCATGGGAACGAGGGCCGTTTTAAGCTTGATTTTATAAAGATTTATTAGGCATTTTGCAGCTGGACGCCATTTTTTAGAACAAGGCGCAATAAAAATGAAAAAAAACTCGATATTTTATCGGATACGAATMGATAGCTGATGGTGTTTTTATCTTGTAGGACCGACCAGCCGAACATTGGCCGAATATTATCTCAATCATGTTAAACAAAGAGCATGGAAACGACCTGACCCTTACTGATAAAATAGTGTACTTCTTTGACAACGTAAGTAAGCCGTGAGGTTGTCGTCAAGWTATCGTAAAGATGTCGGTGTTATATCGGAAGKTCGTCGATTGCACTGACCTTCATATTGTCTTGTTTCAGCGAGTACAAAGTACGTATTTTCTAACCCGAGTGGATCATCGGATGACATTAGTCATGATTTTCAGCACCAAAAAGGCCGAGAAAGACTCTTATATTACATCTTTYATTAACGGTAGGACAAACTTTATTTGTGTCGATGTAAAATGTTCTTTCCTTTCACTAAAATGTGCCCGTTGTTTTTCTAGAAATTGCGACTCAATTGAGAAATACAAAGTTATTTTCTATGCTCAAGCAAGGAACATAACAGCGTTTTGAGAAGTGATTGTTTTACGAGCAATGGCTAGAATGCCTACTCATGGGCGATGGGCGACTCGTCTACAGTCGTCTCTCGTACGCAATGCATCAAGGGAAATAGAAAAGAAAGCGGGTTTCGTTTCTTTCTCTCTCTCTCCTTTCCTTTTGTTGATGTAGAGAGACAACTGGGAACGAGTCAACTCCAGTAGTACAAGGGACCGGCAAACACCTTAAAAATATATATACATTTAAATCTGGTGAAGAGAAGCCTCTCGAAAGAACAATTCAAAATCGTCAAGAAACCGTATGAGGAATTTACTGTTATTGNGTTACTTCATATTAATAAATTGAATAGGGCTAAAATTGTACTAAATTACGCGAATTGCTTTGTTTTCTATTGACTTATCCACACTATATTGCGCTATTGAACACTATTTATAGTCRGTACTTTATCACGCTTTTTATTT